AACGGTTGTCCAGTTCCTCCAGATTTTTAATAGTGGCCTAACATTCATCCATTCATGATATCAATTTAAACTGAACAATCTCTACAACCCTGTACTGTTATTCATCATGTGCTCAATAGTGACTGGCCTCCGGATGAATTACATGGAGTTCTAGTGAGAAGCTGTAGACATTGCAGTTCAACCGTGTGCGTTATAAGGCAGTAACTCACTGAATACAATAGTGGATGGTTGCACAATATCGTGAATTGATTGAAGTTAGACATTAACACCGTTGGGTGTTGACTCAGCGGTCTAGAGATTAAGCGTTCAACATTCGTGATATCAACCTAAACGGAACAATTTCCTCAACCCTATACTGATAATCTCATGTTAGTATTATAATCAAATCATTTTGTTTCCATAGTGTATTTTCAACCTGCAATAACCTAAAATTATATTTATTAAGAACAAGATCCAAAATATTTGCTCAGCATATCACGCCCTCTTTATCTTGGTAGGACAGATGTTTATTATAATGCTATTGGTATTTCGGGCACAGTACATTACCTAATTATACACCAGTTGTCGTTATTCAACCGCATTTAGTTAGGTTTCAATAACAAATATTTATTCATTTATTCAACTCTTACATTATAAATTTGAACAAACTATATATACATTTAAAAATATGAAAAGTCTATTCAAAGTATCGATTTGCTGTAACATACCTACTCAAATAAGTATCAGAATTACGCCCAGTCATATGGTGTCTTAAAAGATAATCTTACCTCTTGAAAATGATATTACAAAATTTATTAATTTATCTTTCAGTCATTCGAAGACACTTCATTAGTCTATAATTACAAAAGTATTTAAACATGTGATAAAATATTCATATCTTATTATATCTGAGTTTTCCTTTGAGAATATTGTTTTTATCAGGATAATTATAAATAAGTAGCAAGTAATAAATGTCTGTAATACTGGATTTTAGGCAATAAATCACATATGTAGTTAGATTAAATTATAAACGAATGTTTAATATATGTAAATAATTATTTTGAATACCATATCAGTGGGAAACAATAATGAACAATAAATAGTTACTATGGCAAGTGTGTCATATTAAAGAGGTTACAACTTTGTATTGCTCAAAATTAATTCTTAATCAAACAGAAATTAGTTACCAAGTTAGTTTTTCCTGGTAGAAAAATAAATGTTGAAAATGAATGAAAATTTTAATGGCGACGAAAGAAATCCATCGTGTTTAAACAAAATCAATGATAATTTTCTTTAATGTAATAATAGTTTTTTTTCACAAATGGCGTCACCATTATTGGAAATGTCTCACTAGATATTCAATATATATTCCCTATAAGTTCAAGATCCTGAAATACAATACGGAGAACATCAATCCAATCAAACTTGGTGAAGAAACTCTGAAAGATGTAGAAACCTTCACGTACTCAAGAAGCATCATTGATAAACAAGGAGGATCTGATGCAGATGCAACGATAAAGATTGGAGAAACAAGGGCAGCATTTCTACAACTGAAGAACATATGGAAGTCAATAAAACTGTCAACCAATATCACAGTCAGAATCTTCAATACAAACGTTAAGACAGTTCTACTGTATAGAGCTGAAACTTGAAGAACTACCACAACTATCATCAAAAATGTACAGTTATTCATAAACGGTTGTCTACGCAAGATGCTCAACATCCATTGGCCAGATACCATCAGCAACAGCCCTCTGTGGGAGAGAACATATCAACTTCCAGCTAAAGAGAAAATTAGGGAAAGACCGTTCAGGTGGATGGGACATATATTGTGAAAATCATTGAACTGAATCACGAGGTTGAAGAAAAGAGGAAAACCAAGGAACTCGTTGTGTCGAGAACCGATGGCAGATATCAAAATAATGACTGGCAACTGGAAAGGGCTGCCCAGGATAGAGCTCGATAGAGAATGCTGTTGAGTGGCCTATGCTCCTCTACGAGGGGTAACAGGCGTAAAAAGATAAGTAATTCTCTATAAATTATGAAACATTTATAAGGTGAGGTGTAAACAACCTAAATAATAATGAATTGTTTTTGAAAATATATAGACCACTTGTATGGTAGTCTGTAATAAAAAAGGCAAAATTCTTTCTTCCTTTCTTAACCTTTGAATTCAAGTATCGAATTCATCAACACATGAAATTTATCAGGAGTTTCTTCTTAAAATAAATTAATTCTTAACTGTAATATAATGCTAGCGTATCTAAATAAATGTGTTTTCATATAATGATTATGATCGTGTTTAAATATCCCCTTGGAATGGAAATTCACTGCATAAGAATAAACAGTGTATTAAAACCAAGTTAGACTTTACACGAACTGACAATCAGTAGTGTCAATGAAATAATTGATATACGATTGAGTAAGTGAAATTCAATTTCTTTTGTAAATTAAGAAGTTCCAATAAAAATATTAGACTCTTAACATAAAGGATAACGAATTATTACCTTAACATAAATCAATGTTATATGTATTACTAATAGTCATTTTATGTATGATATCACATTGTGGTGTGTAGTAAGAGATCTAAAAGTTTCAAAACCAACTTGATACTGTACTAATTACAAGCAAATAGATTGGATGTTTAATTCAGTCTTATGTACTATTGTAGTGTGTACTACATGTGTCAACATAAGTAGCCTATAACTCCAGTCAGGAATAGAATGTCAGACAGCAGAAGGTTGAGAATATCGTGGAGTAAAGAACGGGAACAGAAAGCAATTACTATGGAAATACAGGAACAATCAAGTTTGAGACATTTGATTGACATTTTACAAATTAAGTACTTACTGTATGTTTCTTAGATTTCACTAAGATGTTCTGTAATTTTGTGCTCAAATACATTCAATTGTTCCCATTTGTGTTCTCGTTCACTACACTATGAAGTTCCTTTAAACACAAGTTCGAAAAATGACAAAATGTTCAATTATTAACCTTGATTTTTAAAAACTAAATCATAGTTTTATATATTGTTTTAGTTGACAGTAGTGAAAAGAAATTCAAAAGAAAAGACAACAAATATTCCATATTTAAATAGAATGTCACATTGTGGTGTGTGCTACTTATATTGACATAAGTAGTATATGATGTTAGTCGTGAACAGAAGGTCTGGAAGCAGAGACAAGAGGATCGAACAGTAAAGAATGGAAACAGGATGCAATTCGTATGAAAATGCAAGAACAATGAAGTCTGAGTCATTTTGAGACAATCGTTGGACATTTTGCAAATTACGTATTTACTATTTGATTGTTAGATTTTATTAACAGGTCCTGTAATTTCGTGTTAAAGACATTCGACTGCCCCCACCCGTGTACTGTTCATTACAACATCAGCTTGTTTATCTTTATTTTGGTTAAAGTCAATAGTTGAAAGTTGGATATTGTTTAAAACTTATACTCAAATTAAATAAGACTATAACCCTTAGTTAAATGACTGTAACCATCAGCAACAGTGAACGAACCAGCTTCCAGCTGAAGAAGAAATTAGGAAAAGACGATTGAAATGGATAGGAAATACATTACGCAAATCGCCAAACTGCATCACGAGGCAAGCCCTAACTTGGAATCCTGAAGGGAAGCGGAAAAGAGGAAGTCCAAAGAACACATTACGTCGGGAAATCGAAGCAGATATGAAAAGAATGAATAATGACTGGACGGAGCTGGAAAGGACTGCCCATGACAGGGTTGGATGGAGAATGCTGGTGAGCGGCCTATGCTCCTTTAAGAGGAGTAACAGGCGTAAGTAAGTAAACGACCGTAAACTGATTAGTTTAACAATAAGAGAGATAGTGAAATGAATTTCTGAGTAAAATATTCAGTAAGTTTGTTATAGCAACCGTTTATCGTTTATTATGATTTTCTATTGTTAAAGTATTCAAAATATCCATAAAAACATTCAGCTGTAATTTAATCCTCTAACTAAATATGCAGTTTACTATTTGGTTATATATTATTATTACTATTATTGTATGAAGTTTATTGAAATATGTTATTTGTAATATCACTGTATTGGCAATGTACTTTAACAAAGATATCTTTAAGAATAAATACAGATATAATTAAATACTTCTCTTAAATCATTTAAAAACCACATAAACAATAAGGTTCTTCATTAGTTGAAATAGATAAAGAAAATTTCAAGATATGTATAATTGCTGATATATCAGTGGAAATACATTATGACTATATTTAGAGAAGATGTAATATTTTCCTTTGACGAATAACCTTTCTTTTTTGGTAATAAAGAATTTGGAACAATTAAATTGTAAAAATGTATACTACTTTTTTATGGTATTCATTATCTTAAAAATTAACTACTCTTTATTTAAAAGAACTTTTTACCATCTACTTTCATAATATAAAGTTAATTAATCATTAGATCTAAAACTCTACATCACTGATCATTGTAGTATTAAATATCAACTCATGAATATAATCGAAACAATGTCGATATTATATTATTCAAAATCACTTGTTAATGGTAACAATCCTATTGTTCTGTGTATTTTAAAGATGAAATTAGAAATCCCTCCCTATCAAATTTTGCACTAATTATTTTTCATATTAACAACAAAAAAACTTTCCTTTTTTTAAAGTGTCAATCTTTGTTAAACGTTTGTTGATTTACAGATATCATAATAACTTATATTCTGCAATACTATATTTTCTACAAAAAGTTGTTTAGAAAATTTATCGTGATCATATTCCGATAATTATATGAGTACATAATTACCACCTAGTACTATAAGTACTAGAAATTTCATAATAACTGTCTTATTTTGTGTTTTATTCATTGTTGAATTGAGTTAAACACGTTGGTGATTATGATATAAGTTTAATAATACTTCTTATTATATCCATATTAAATTTCTTAGTTGAATGATAATTTCTAAAACTATATTTAATAATAATTTTCCAAAAAATATTTTTCACAAAAAAAAATGCAAAAATTTCCTCAGGACAAAATTTCTCAATAAATATAGAATAAAGATTGGATAATTTATATGGTGGATTTTATATGCGTGGGAGTCGATTCTTATAGTCGTCATATTGAGTGGGCTTGTTAATTTTCTCTAGTAACATGAGTTAAAATGTATTTTATAGACTATTGAAAAATGTAAACATATACACACGCACACACACATATGCACAAATCAAGAAACCCTGTTTAAGTGATTTTATAAAATCATATTTACCAATATCTTAATGGAAATTATTTTACAGGGATTTACATACGTATATATATGTATATCCTTGTAACTTGATTGTTCTTATTTTCTTTACACAAAATCAACTTAGATGTTATTATTGAATGCTTATTAATCCATTAGTCAATTATCAGTATTATTATTATTCTATTATAATTTATGCTATTAAACAATTTAATTATTTAATTGTTAAACAATTAATTAATTATTGGAACAAATTGGTTTCTAATATTGAACTCAAACAAATTATTGAATTGTTCAATAATATTCAATTTCATTTGTCATGGACAAAACGTAATATTTCAATGAATCGTTTAAATCCATCTATGAAATATATACGCGTAAATTTTGAAAATTTATCATTGAAATCAACTGAAAGTACTTACATTAAATGTGATCAAATGAATTCTTATAATAATAACATTGAAAAGGTTGAAATTATGAAAATTTTAAAAAACCCTTTAACACATAATATTAGTGATTATTATATAGAAGCAACTAAAAAGAAACATTATCTATTATTAAATAAAACTATACAAATTCTAATTATAATAATCTTATTTAATTATTCATTAGTTTACGTGAACAATAATCTTTGCATAGATGCTATGCATTTACATAATACTATTTTATCACCATTAACGGAAACGTCAACAGATTCAGAGACAATATTAGAATCAGATTCATCTACATTACCTACATATTTAATTGATTCACCTGTAGTCAAATTAATTAAAACTCCAAAAACTACACGACAATCTTATTTAGATAATGGATTACAATTAGAAAATAAAGTAATGCAAAGAATATCATCAATATTTCAAGATAAAAAAGCTATACAAGATTTGTTGACAGAAATGAATGCATATTATTTAACTTATGGGAGACCAAGGTTAGTTTTAAAATATGATTCAATTATTGTATAATAATAAAACCTTTTTCTAAGTTATATATTTATCTGTTGTTTGTTTTAGTGCTTAATTAGATTGAATGTTGTAGAACTTATTTATTAATAATTGTAGTACAGAAGTGTAACCTTAAGTTCATTATTGAAAAACTTATTAATGAAATACAAAACAGTTGTATAATCTTCGTTAAACATTTAACATATATGAACTTATGGTAAAAATCATATCAATTTATGTATAGTATTATCAACATTAGTTTGGTGGTATGGTTATAATTATACAACAAAACACGAAGTTTCAAATATTCGTGTAGAGTAATTTTGTATGTGTTACGATGTGACACATTTCCATTTGCCAGAAACTTTGAGTTCAAATATGAGTAATCTTTTTTAAAGTATAATCACCGTGAACCTAATTAAGCGTACAACCATGGAAAAAATCGGATAACATCTATAATTTTCATTTAACCTTCCTTGTTATCTTTTTCTTCAGGGACGCGGTAAAAAGGCGTTAATAATTTACAAATAAACAATTTACAAAGTTTATCAAATGTACAATACTATTAAAATCCTAATTATTACATAATTTTATATGACTACTGAATTTAATGGCATTATACCATATAGAATTAATAACTAATAACTAATTTCCTTAATCACTAACTGATCATTTATTGATCTTATCATTTGTGTAGTTATATATTAACTCATTTTTAGTATTCTTTATTATTCGCAGTGGTCTAGTGGTTAAATGCTCGCGCGCGAAACCAGTAGATCCTGGGTTCAAATCTCGCAGGGGGCGAGGTCATGGATGCACACTACTGAGGAGTCCCATACTAGGACGAAACGGCCGTCTAGTGCTTCCAGGTTTTCCATGGTTGTCTAGCTTCAACTGACTTATGTTCTTAACTATTGAAATTACGATAATATCCACAAAACTCATCTGATAAAAAAATTACTTTAAATAAAACACATTAATAAAAGTAATATAATAGATTAAAATAAATGATTATGGTAAATGTAGTTTACATTATATTTACTGTCTATTTATTAATTTACTAAATAATAACAATAGTGATAATACAATTTAAAAGAAAAATAGTAATTTTTAAAATATGAGGTAACTATTATCTGAATAATTTACTTTTAATTATCTAATGTAGATTGTAAAATATATATATATAACAAAAAGAAAGTGAACGCTACCATCAATTACTACTTATCTTGTAGTATAAAATCAAGCATAATCGTTACTTTGTCTTTTGAGCATTATTTCTGTGTTTTAAGTATTGGATAGTACATTCGAGATCAGTAGTACAGAAAAGTGTCTTTTTAAGTGTTGTTTATCATGTTGAGAGGATGAAAACTGAATGTTAGACTCTTTAACCGGGTCGTTAGACATGGAGGATCCATCTGTGGAAGTTAGTCGGAAAACCCTGATTCTTAACATACCCTGATTATTTTGGAATAGTCAGCCTGTGTTATTGATGAGTACTGTATAGTGCTTGGTCTATAGGTTTTGGGATTGATTCAAAGTAATTATGTCCGTTGTTTTAAAGCTAAAATGAAAACTTAATAACTTGCTTTTACCGTTATAATACTTGTACACTATCTTTAGTTATGAGTGTCATAAAACAACTATTTTTTAATGTTTGTTATTCAGACAATTTGTTGTTAAAATATAGTTTTACTGATTAGCCATATGATTCAAAATACCTTTGGATCTATTTATTTATTATTTATTCAAACACATAAACGTTGATACAATGAGGCACCAAATATATATGCGCCTTACTTCGTCATTCGATTTTTGTGAGAGCTGAGATATTGCCTGGGTACCCAAACCAAAGCGGGTGATTTTCATAAGGGGGTCCACACCCCTAGTCTTTATTTGAAGGTCTAATCCACAAGACAGTAGAGCAACGTCAAGAGATACAGTCGAATGGTAGCCGATGACTAACTATAGGCTGATACGCCATTTGTTTTCTTAGAATCCTAGAGCCCATGTGCACCACTGTTTGGGAATCAGGGTTTTCTGAATAACTCCTCGAGATGAATCCTCTATATCCACGAACCCGGTTAAAGCTTCGGACATTGGCTTTTTGCCCTCTTGATTTCGTAGGCAACACTCCCGTCACGAGAAGGTAGTAAGTAGAACTTTTCTGCAGTGGTTATATGCACGTGAGTAATGTTGAAAATTTGTAAAGTTAAATATCATCAATGATATTTGGAATTTTCATGACCTCAGCATTTTGTCATTGTTGTTGTTGTCGATTATGTTAACGATAATACTACACAATCTTCTCATCATTTAAATAACCATAATTAAAATTACTATCTACTTATATACTTAAATTAAACATGCAACATATTTAAAGGAATATAGAACAGATTTAATTTAACTGACCGGAAGTTTTAGTATAATATAACTATTATGAACTTATACAACTTGTGTTTCTTTGAAGTGAAAGATATTTGTAACTTTCTTTTTTTTTCTTTTTAGTTAGATTTAATAAGGTCATATTTAAATAAAACTTTAATTTCACTAATGTATCTTAGCATAAGTAATTTTATAGTATACGAGTGACTTAAAAGAAAAGAAAAAAAGACAAAAAATAAGTATCACAAAGAATGATCGGTCAATAAGAAAACATTCAATCAATTGTATGTGCATTGAAATGAAAATGTTTTCCTATTTTTTTTTGTTTTGTTTCGTTTTTTAAAGAGTCTACATTTCAAATAATGTGGGTTTTTTTTAAAAAAAATAATAAACGTGCAACATTTTTGTTAGTCAAGTAATTAATATTTTTCTTAAATCATTTTGTTTTTGTCGTAAGAAAAAACATTTTTTTCATGGTGGTAAGGTTTTATTATTAAGATTGTTGGGTCGCGTGTTACTTATGCCTGAACTCTGATTAACATGACGCTCATTGTTGACTCGTGTTGAGGATGGTTGGAAGAAATTGAGGGATGGCCAAACCAAAAACGTAGCATCAGTCATTGAAGTCACTAACTTCTGACCTGAGCCATGTTAGTTGATGCAGACTACTTGCTTGAGGTCCTCATGACTACGGTATTCAATGGTTGGAGACTCTGTGTGACATGGCTCAGAATCGATCACTATGGCGTAGATGTATACACTTTCTGCATTCCCTTAAACTATGAGATTAAAATCGCTTCATATCTTTCTTTCTACGTACTAATTCTTTCTTTCTGTACTATATCCTTATATGCAAACTTTCTTTACATATTTCCATCATTGACTTATCTACTTCTATGAATCCGGTGTTCATCTTGCTCTGATGATGCGGTATGGCAACTTGGACCGATATATGTATGTGCCTGGTCCTACATTGTAGCTGACTGACTGACTTATTGTTAAGAACCAATCAACATCGATATTTATAGGATAAGCTATAAGCCATATGTCAAGAAATTTGAACATAATTCACTTCAACCTCATGTTTGTGATGATGATGTTGTTCAGAAGAATGATGAAAGCTCCATGACTAAACTATCCAGCTCAGAGAATAAAACTATCAGAAAGAGTGATATCTCATTAGATTCTTTATGAAATTTATGTGTCAATAATTTATAAAATAGCCATAATTAAAAGTTTGGTATTGAATCGTCTATTTTTTTGTCTGGTGTCTGAGAATAAAGCAATCAACATTAAACGTCGACAGAATATTGTTAAATATCAATGTTTTTATTATAGAATTAGTCGATTCACCAGTCACTTTGATAGTTAATATTAGGAAATGAATAAAGTTTATTTTCTAATGTTGTAAGTTATTGTTTATTAAATAAACAAATTATGAAAATAAAAGTTGATAGGTATCTGACATTATTGATTTTTTTTCATTAATTACTTTGTGCGTAATAGTTATCAAAATATTTCTTGAAATAATTGATAGATAGAGTTAGATAAGTGACTTTCAATTATAGAAGTTGTCAACTGCACTTGACGCATATTCAGGTTAGTGATCTTAGATACCCGATAAAATGTTTGGTTAAAATTGAAGTACACAATCCTTCATTTGATTGCTAAATCGCATAATTGATATTATTCGAAAATTACTTAGAAGGTCACAAAAGTTTAATTTATTGTATTTGAGAGGAACTTGGAAGTCAACAAACAATTACGTACTAAATAATAATCTTTTATTATGTCTAGAAATGCAATAAGTTTCAAGTTAGTTAAAATTAAGGTTATTGAAACAGTATCATGATATAAACTAGAATTACCTTTTTGTATTCAATGCCGATTTTTTAAATATAATCAGTTAAAGACAATTACATTAGAATACATTCAATATTCACTATGTATCACTAATGAACAATGCCACTGTTCTTAACAGTAGCATGTTCAATAGTATATATCTAAACAGAAGATTAATAAGTGATGAAAGTATAAATTATATTAAAGATATGTACTTAATACTGTAATTGTAATATTAAATAACATTATCTAGGATAATAATAATAATAACATTATCTAAGATAAATGCAACCAAAATATATCTGTCTTATTGTTTCTTATAGGCACTAAACATCATTGAATGTTCTTATGGCATTTACAAAATACAAACATGTATGTCGTAAAACATATTGAACTTCATTATTAATATCGAAGGATATATAACTGATAATTATTGATGTATTTAAATTATGTATGGTATAAATTCAATAAGGTGAGACTATAATTTATGGACGACCTTTGAAAAGGGTTGAAGTGACCATGAGAGTGTCCATCTAATAACTGGGATCAAATGAGGGTTACAAACCAGTATGAGTTATTGAAATTATGATTTACAACTGATGGTTTAGATTAGGGATTTTCATTATAAACATAAGCTATAATTTATCAGCTATAATGTCAAAACTCCATATAACCAAATGGGTGAATGTATTCCGCGCCAAAATTCGAGACTTCTTATCATACACCTATACTATTTCTTTATGATTTAACATCATGAACTAGTATTAGACAATTATAAAAAAATTTCGAAAATCTAAACAAAACCCAGTAGGGATTATATTGTTTTAATTTTTAGATTTTCAAAATTGAAATATTTTAAAAATAAGGATTAACTTATTTCTGTGAAAAAAAATTACAACAATAATAATGAATAAATCACAATGATAAAATTGAAATAACTACGTGCTTGTGCAAGTAGCTAAAAGGATTCAGTAGCTGATTGGATAACACGATGAAGTTTGAAGCGAACAATATTGAGTTCTAGTCTCGGAGTGAACATTAACTCTGAGATACATGTACATCTATCTGACGGGTTTTAAATGGGACAAAATGCACGTCCTGATTTCCACTGCTAGCCACTATCAATCTTTGTTTATAATGTTTGTTTGTTTGATGTTATTTAAGTAAAAGTTCTGATAAAATAGTTTTTAAACTAAAAGATTCCACGAGTTTTGTTATACTAGTTAATAGTCCCACATTTTTATAAGTTTATGTAATTATCCTAAAAGAAGTATTCATATCTCGTAATTTGTGAAACTTTTCTAATATAAATAACCTAAAATTATTAAATCAGTATTTTTTTGAAACAGAATTACAATGTTTTATTATGATATTTGGCCCTTAAATCCCGAGAGTGGGGAGAACCAGCTCTTCCACGTGCATACAACCACTGCCAAGGAAGTCCTACTCACTGACTTCTCGTGGAGGGGGTGTTTTTTACGAAGTTCAGAGAACGAAAATGAATAATCGACGCCTTAACTAAGTTTTTGATTACGGGGGATCCACCTGCGGGACTTGAAAACCCAGATTTCAAACCCATGATACACATGGACTCCAGGATCCTAAGGAAATAAATGGTGTATCAACCTATAGTTAGTCATCGGTTACCATAGGGCTACATCTTCCACTGCCTTGTGGACTAGACCTTGAGGTCAAAGGATCCGAGTGTGGTCCCCCAAAGAGACCACCTGCTTCGGTCTAGGTACCCGGGTGGAATCCATTCCTCGCACAAATCAAATGATTTATGTGGCACATATCTATTTGATGCCTCCTTGTACCAATGTTTATATGTTTAAATAAATAAATGATTTTTGTGCTATTTAACTGCTCAGTATTTAATGTACTCTAAAGTCAATATTGTCATATTTTCATCAATGCAAAATAGGCTAGATTTTATAAAAAGAATTTTTATTAAACTTCTGTTTCCATCTAGGTTTACCGGTTTTCTTATGTCATTCCATGCCGATTTTTTGATATTCTTAATTATTAAGAATATAGCAGAATGAATTCAGATTACACTTGAAGCTTTATTAAACCTTTTAAAATCTAAGATGGATATTGATGAGTTTCGGAATGAATCTTACAATCAAAAATAAATTTATTATACCATTGCAGTAAAATAAATAATTTTATTTCAATTATCTTAAAGACAATCTCCAAGGTCTATTTCAAAACTATATACAGTAATATTATTATTATTATTATTATTATCCTATTTTAGTAAAACGGTATCTTAATTTGACATATTCTAATACCATTTTCTAATTGTAGTTTGTTGATTTATTTTACATTGGATCTATTAAATTTATTCATTATAATATCAGTCTATGTATTCAGCGGTTATTTTTACATTAACCTCTTTATTTCTGATTGTTTTAATTAGTTATTTTGTATATAGACTCTGTTGAATTAGTGGTTGATATATTACTTTAAATAAAAAATATCATCTTCTGAAGTTAGTAGGTATCATCACTAAGGTTAGACTTGATAATTTCGAATAAATTAAGCATTACTTAGATTGTTATATTTAAAATTGAATTAATTTTGATTTGATTATTTATTCACTGAAGAAGTGGCTTACATTAAGTCACGAAACATTAAAAAATCTAATTTTTCTACTCAACTGGATATTACAAATATATTATTTATTATATAGAAGTTAGTTTTAATAAATTAAATAATTTACTGTTCAAACAGTTAACCATTATAATTGTCATGTTATTTAGATCTGGTTAGTGTTATGCATAAATGATTTTAATCATAGTTTATTCTATGCAAGAATGAATTGTTTATATAATAATAAGTTTTCAACATTAACAAAAACATATTTTTCTTACATAATTTCTAACCTGTAAAAACAAGTTATAATGTAAACGAACTGTTATAAATCCATACAGTTAACCATGGTTAATTGAAATTGTTGATATTCAGTACTTTTTTCCCCAACTTTATGCTTGAAAAGTATAATTATGATTTTTAATTATTAGGAAGAGAATCTTTATATATATATATATATATATATATATATATATGCATTAGTTGCTAACAATAATGAATTCCTTTTTTTTCTTTTTTTATTTTATTCCATGTTCTATTTATAATTTGTACTAAATATTCATGGCTATCAAAATTTGGTTTGTTAGACACTACCATCATTGGATGCAGGCTCAGCGGTCCAGTAGGTTAGGCGTTCGCGCGCAAAACTGAAGGCCCTGATTTCGAATCCCACGAGCAAGATCGTGGATGCGCACTACTGAGGAGTCCCACCATAGGGCGAAATGGCTGTCCAGTGTTTCCAGGTTTCCAACGGTGGTCTAACATCAATAGGTTCATGATATCAATAAAAAAAAATTAACTTCCACTCAGACAAACGGTTGAATATCCATTCTAAAGCTTTATCTTTTAATTTGTATATTGAATATGTACGCTATTTATTAATTTTTTTCATTTTAATTATTGTCTTATCAATTGATAAAGGACATTGGTTAATGTCCTTAGTGATTATTGTTTCACCGTCAAACTTGTCGACTTTCATAGTTTGTTCTGTTTTTGTTTTTTTCATTACATGTAAACTATTTTCAAAGCAATTCTTTTTCTAGCCGAATTTTTCATAGAATAGTCTTCTATAAAAAAAGTCACTTTTGTATACATATTATAGTATATAGTTATAATTTGTTATAAAGAGAGTAAAATTTCTTTGAGTGATCTATTGAAACGTTTTGATATTCTTTTCATTTCAATTTCAATTCAATATATTTACTGAAATTGAATTTTGAATTATTCTTTTGATTTCAGTTAAAGCGGAATTTTTCTTAAATGTTTTGATAGCCTTCAAGGATTTATGACTAGGGAAAATCATAATGTAGATAAGAAAGGTGATCATATATTCTGTCCTAACTTTTGACTGCACGCTAACTTTATTGGTTGAATCACTTTTGTGTCTACTAAACAGCTAGTATATTGCACGGATAGTTCATTCTTTATTAGTTTTTTTTTCAATTGTCAGAAATTATCCTAGGGAGAATAAAGTATAAATGAGTTGAGTGAATTTTGACATAGGAGTTTCGAAATGTCCCTCACATAAAGTAGAACCGATGAGTGAGTAATTCTAAGATTAGATTGAATGAATTATTATTATTAGAAGCTTTATTCAACATTATATTTTTGGTACAGCATAGAATTCTCAGCATAAAGTATTTCAACAAGTTTCCTTTTCTTATACCTTGATCGATTGTGACGATAAATTTTGAATGATGACCAGTTAGATGTTAGAAGTTCGGTAATCCACATTTGATTACTGTTCATTTGTTTCAATGCATATTGCCAGCAACCATGATGTCGCTGATTGTATCTTTTTGTATCCCGTATAGCGAAAGGTTGTAAACTTTTCATAAACGCGCCTGAATAGGTTGTGCGCACAATAGACATAGTGATGTGCTAAAACAAACAACAAAACAGATAACTTGATGAAATATCCAGATCGGAGGAACAGTTAGCCAAGATATTCAAGCAGGCCGCCGGTTGATGTAAGATATTTTTAAAGAGAACAAGAACAAAGATTGGTGCAGAATAATATGAACTCACTTTATTTCGTTAGGTTCTCATCAGCTGCTTACAAACTAAAGTATTTGAAAATTAGAGTTATTACAGTTACTGACATACTTATACATCAGAGGGTGATTAAGGATGAACATATGTATCATGATGTAGTGAAGACTCCGATAGAGTTAATGAGGTCATAAAATTTTGTTTCGAATAAATAAAGTTTGGGAGGGAAGGTTCCAGAACATTGAAATGGTGATTAGAACTCATGGATTTAAAAAAAGACATTAGATGATTATGTAATGAAGTAACTGAAAATAGACTAATGGTAATAAAGAAAGATATGAATTGAAATCAATCAGTTATGAATGATGTAATTTAAACTTAAGAAAGAGTTGGAATAGTGAATGACGTAATAAGTAAATAAAAGGGGGGGTAATGTTATCAGGGTAAAGAAAGATTTATTACTGTCTCTTTTTGTATACATAGATCTGCTTTTAAACGTTTGGTTGCTATCACTTCGGCAAATTTCAAATGGTTTGAGTTTGATTATTTGTTAATCACCTTGAAGGATTTCAGTGTATCGACTTCGTGTTCTGTGTTATGGAGATGTCTTGCGATGGCACTGCTGACTGCTTTTAGTACGTTTGATCTTAAACTCTTCGGAATATGTTCTTTAAATCGGATGTAGGCTCTCCTTTCTGTTCTACCAATGTAACTGCTTTGGCAGATACATGTAAACTTGTATACACAGTTGGAGTAACATAAAAGGGATACTTGTTGACCTTTGGTTGTGTCAAAGAACATGGTGTTTTGGACAGGACAATCAATTTTGCTGCAGGATACGTTCTTGTTAATGCAGTTTTTAGTCTCATATTGATTGATACATATATTCATCCTTAATCACCCTTTGATGTATAAGTATGTCAGTAACTGTAATAACTCTAATTTTCAAATACTTTAGTTTGTAAGCAGCTGATGAGAACCTAACGAAATAAAATGAATTCATATTATTCCGCACCAATCTTTGTTCTTGCTCTCTTTAAAATAATAAAGGGAACTATGTGTATGAAGTTATTTTTGTACAGCCATGTAATATCATTAATTAAAATGGTTGGAACATGTGTTAGTTTTACCGATTTATGGCTGATACAAGAACATTTTGTCCAAAAACTAAATTCAGCTAGACCGATACATGGAGCTCATTCATAGATTAAATAACTGTTAATTCTTAGCACTTTCTGAAATTACCAACATGCTAGTTATAATCTATAACGTGTTTTCAATTTGTATTTTGTATAAAATATAATGTATAAAGTTTTTCGTAACTCAAGTTTCACAGTTACAACCTTTCATACACCAGACTGACTCCATGATATATTCGTTTGCATTCTGACACGAATTCACATAATCTATAGTTCCTAAATTCTTTTTTCAATTAGTAAATTAGTAAATTTATTTTTACTCCCGGACTTATCCTTTTTTCAGATTGCTTATCATTGGGTTATTGTTTGTTTCTTTGAAAGTATGTTAGCTCAAATCAAAGTAACTGTGCTACACCCAAAAATTATGTAAGAACAAAGAGATTATTTTAATTTGATAAATGATTTAAGACAACTCGATTTTCTAATTCTAATTTAAATGATGTATTATGTAACATAAAAACAAATTTATCGGAAATATATAAAACGCCCTGATAAGTATATGTGCGACCAGATTGTTCGAAATGTATAGCGCAAATACATCACATTTTTCAGATCAATTTCGTCTTCTCAATGTTCGATCGAAATTTGTCGAAAATAGTTATTTTTTGTTTATTTAGAAAAAAAGTTGTTCAATACAATGCAACAACAGATATTACACATAAATAGAAGTGAAATTGCCTAGAATAAACACCTCGTTTTACATTTATCAGTTCGACTGCTCCTGTGGAGCAAGTTATATTGGTCGAAGTTCTAGGAATTTACATTTTCGTGCCCGTGAACATCTCCCAGCATGGCTAAACAAAGGTTTGATGAAGAAAGTGAACAGCTCAATATTGACCCATTTAGTACAAACTGGTTATAGTGTCAGTATAAACCAATCTTTTTCAATTATTTATAAGGTCAGTAATTTTTTGCCAAAATTTGTCATTATTAAAGTTCTTCAAACGGCTGAAGCAGTAGCCATCCTGATGAAGAAATCGGAGCAATATGTACAGAAGAAATATCTTCAACCACTCCTCCTCCGCTGACCAACCTCATGGTCAATTAAGCAATAGTAATCTTAGCTATTGAATGACCTAATTTGACTATTGTACTTACGACGTTTTGTAGTCAAATGAAATTGTCTCTGTTATCTTTATTCACAAATCTTTGTATTATTATTAATGGTTAAACATCATTAATAATCTCCACTATACATGATTCATTCACTCCGCATTCATCCATCCTGATTATGTCTTATTCATTTTCCACACAATATAACCTTCCAGTAAATATTTGACCGAATTGTAATTGCACTATTTTTTCTCTCACCTTATTTGACCCATAATTATTCTGATCATGAATCATAAATACTTTTAACATATCATCTATAACTGTTATATGAGTTGCGAAGCATATAACATATAGCAGTTTTAACACAGGTAGGCTAACACATTTCTGTAAATAAGGTAAAAGTCATTACAATATATTGAAATGATGTATTTATGTAATTGGTTCCAAAAGGTCTTAATTTTCAATAATGATTGAAATAGTTGAAAACCTGATTGAAGTTAGACATTAACACCGTTGGATGCCGAGTCAGTGGTCTAGTGGTTAAGTGCTCATGTGCGAGACTGATGGGTCCTGGGTTTGAATCTCGCAAGGCGGAATCGTGGGTGCGCAGTGCTGAAGAGTACCGTATTGGGACGAACCGGCCGTCCAGTGTTCCCAGGTTTTCCATGATGGTCTAGCTTCAAATGACTCAAGAATTCATCTATTCATTTACTATGATATCTACAAAATCCCTCTCTAATCATTTCAATAATGAGTTAGTTGTTATAGATTTATCTTAAGAAATACTTAGCAACGTAATTATTTATAATTAGACATTTCCAAATAATTCATACATAAACAATTAAACAAATATGACGAAATCTTTATAAAAATATCTACCATTATGAAATAAACTATCAATTAAGTAACACTACGCATTGATAACAGAATCTAGATTGTAAAACGTGTATCCCTAATACAGTTTACGTAAAAAATCCATCAACTAATTATGCTTACTGTGATGATAGTACAGATTTTCAAACGTGTGTGACTGAAGCCTAATGATAAAATCACCCTCGTTTATATTTATTTGTTTTGGATATAATTAAATATTTTACCATGGTAACTTTGACGAGAAAATGCTCATAGTTGAATGAAATAACAAAAATACGAGAAACATATTAAACTTTAGATAAGTAGACGTATTAGTGTGAAGAGATTTATAAGCTTAGTTATTTTCACAATTTCTCTACCTATCTAGACAGTTTTCGAATTCAGATCATTGAAAGATTTAAAAACTCGGAGCTTTAATTCTTGGATAATCTATTAAAAAGAAGCTCTGATGGTTCTTTTCGAAGAATAATGCATAAATATCTAATCTAAAACTATCACTACACGCACTTTCAAGTTCGGTCTCATTGAGACAGGGCAGAATCTTGGTTCATTCTCTATCATGGAGAGCTAGAAGAGTTTGTTCAAATGGAACTCTAACTCAATTAATTATGACAGATATTTATCAATAAAAGTTATCCATCTAAATCAATTAGTAGAAATCTAAAGCTAAAATAACTGCGTGAATGAATGTCTACAGTGTCAGAGATTCTCTCCGTGAGGATTCTGTTCAAAAGAGGTACAGTGTTAAAGACCTTGAAAAATAGGATTCTTAGGTCTCTGAGAAAAATAATATATTCTGATGAACACCGAATTTTCTTCCATATTCACCCTCTGGTTTGTGGATGTATAAAGGATAAACTGCCTCTTTGAGCCATATCAATGTGTATATATGAGTTTACCTGCTCTTATCAAGTAGGTTAAAGCGGAAGCACAAAAAGAGCTATTTGAAGACGCATATTAGGCCACTATCGCACCTGATTGTTAAAAGGATTTTAAATGTCAGCCAGTAGTTAAAATTGTGAAATTTTCAAGAATTTTATCATATGACTTAACCAGGATTGTCTTACAAAGCCATCTATACAGTCAAACGAATCGGGTCGATGGAAACATAAATTAGAAACGTATATATTCCAGAATCTTTAGCAGTCCACCAATTTAAACTTGATGTCTGTATACAAAGCATATTATTTCAGTAATTCAATTTTCATAGAAAATTGGTCAAGTGATCATATAGTTTGTTGAGAGTTCATTTACCCTTTTTTGTTTAATACAATGAATTCAGTATTAGTCCATATGTCTATTCAAAACGTTAGTGCATTGTACACAACAGTTTACAATGTTGTATCATTACAACAGAGTTTTCATTAGATTTGTGAAACGACTTGGTTGAACTCCATTGGTCACTGCTTCTCACTAGAACTGCAGGAAATACCTCTTGAATCCAGTAACTAGTGAGCATATGTTGATTAATGTTTGAAGGGGTTTTTTGTATACTATATTATAATATCCACAAAATCTCTTCTGATACTAAAATATTTCTGTTCGAAATTTATTTTATACGTTCATCTATTTATTTTTGTCTAATTCCATATATCCCTATAATATACACAATATTATGTAACATCGTTTCATTGTACAAGACTATATGACTTGTTCTTGTTCAGTAAATTTAATCCATTTGTTTATAACATGTTCTTGTTCTTATCACAGTAATATATGATTTGGTTTATAACATGTATTTAAGGTAATTGGATTTCACGGATCATGTTTAGTTTCACTGATAAAATATTTGTTTATGTTAATAAACCTGATAATTTTTATAAATCGTTATGTTAGAAGAAAAAAAACAGAAAAAAAATATTATTTTGTTCAAGGATTCATACTAGACAGTTACACTTATTTATGTACAAATATATATTAGTCAATAGAATTGGAACATTATCACGTGAATTAGTGGAAAAAATGATGAATTATTTGTTATAATTAATTTGTGTTTAAATTCACTTGGTGTTGTTTTACTCGTATCTTCCCAATTTTATTTAAGACTGCAATTGATCAGTCTCTTATTGGCATATGTGTTTGTTGAGCGTATTGCTTTGATATTGCCTTAAGTCACAAGCTTTTTAAGCAAAGATGGATAGTGGCTAGCAGTGGAATCCAGTTCGATGCGCGTTTGTTCTATTTGAGACTAGTCAGCTGGATGTACCTGCATTTCAGAGTTTATGTTCACCTTGAGACTCGAACACTCTACAGTTCTCTTCAAACATCATCGCGTTATCAACTTAGTTACTGAGTCCTGATAGCCACTTTTCGTGCAATATCGAGATAATACACAGAGTATGCACATATACTAATAAGAGATTGATCAGTTGCAGTCCTAAACATCGATGGGTAGATTTAAGTAAACAATACCAATTGAACTGTTTTTATATTTTTTTAAAATCACTCACTGTTTGTTCTAATAGTATTCTCATAAAATACTATATGATTCATAAGTCTATCAGTGTAAATGCTGTTTTAATTATTAAAATAGCATTCACTCATTTTATAATTACTAGTCTATACAATGATTTTCCACGGTGATATAACTTTTTAAAATATAGCTCTTCATGAATATTAGAAAGCATATTTAGTAAGTATTTATTTGTTTACTTCAGAAACTATACTCATGATTAATAGTGTCAACATACTTTTCTATATATCATTAATCTATCCACTGGCAAAGTAAAATACTTACAACTGAAATACATTTTCTTAAAGTTAAACAATGAAGAGGCTTGTATGTAGTGTTATATACAAATATGTAATTGTTGATTTGGGAGCTGATAAATTTACGGAATTTTATGCTTGAAGTGCTATTAATTGATATTACTTTTTATAGAAAATAGTAATTAACATCAAACTATGATCAAAATGGCTTCATGTTTTTAATTGTTTATACTATGAATATCATACTATGCTGAATGAAGTCGGTGAATATAATGTTTAATGCTAAATACAAACAGGATTTAACATTTCTTACTTCATTGTAATTTATGCCACGGACAAATTCCGAGTAGATGACTAGTAAACAGCTGTTTCATACCAATCTGAAACTCTTCATTGACGAATATCTATGATATCACTGGGCTACAATCCCTGTTTACTATTTATTATTTTATTTGAACACATATATATTGGTACAAAGGGGTACCTGATATATATGCGCCACACAATAACAATGTGGAAGGAAGGAGAAAAGAATGTAAGGTGCGTATAAGAAGAGAAAAAAGAGAATTATAACGACCACAGATTAGTGTATGGTAATGTAATAATAATAATAATAATAATGGGGGAAACGGAAAGGTACAACCAGAAAGAATTCTTTCAGTGAAAGAGGTTACAATTACTTTTTATGAAGAAAGTAAAAGAAGGTTGCGGCAGGATCGCCACTGGCTTCTATTCTGAGCCATATCTGATAACGTCTCTAGCCACTGCGTTGCACCATCTCTCGGACCCCATCCAGGAAGTCGACAAGGACCAACAGAAGCCAGCTCTTTGCAGCTTTCTTTCATACCACGACAAAGGTGCACATGTTTTCAGAAAAACTGTTTCAGTATTCGTATTCGGTGGTAACATTCAATTTTCGACCAGTCAGTGACTCGAGATCGTTTAGATAGAACAGAGTTTCCATCATAGGCGAGGGCGGGCCCCCCTCACTCTCGGACTTACCATGGCATTTGGGAGCTACAAAATCTCATGATTATAGAAGTAATAACTTATCAGTGGAAATTACTTTTAACAAACGCTGAAATAATTAATTATTACTCTGAATAGTTATTTTCTTCTAAACAGCTATTAGGAATATTAATCAGTCAAATCCCCTTCTTTTATTATTTATCTGTTCCTATTAGTTCCTTCTAAGCATTTAAAATTTGTCCATGCCTGTATAAATTATTTCCAACCTTATCTTCGAAATAAATAAAAAAATAACCACACTTAAAGTTCACTTATTTTGTCCATAAAAAAGGCACTAATAATGAAATAACAATAATAATTCAGAATTATTTGATCCATTCATATGATGTGTTAGTTGACAAGTAGATTGTTAGTTATATCTGTTAGGTTTATTCAAACCATATAATTAAAAGCTTATAATCTAAACTTTCAATGCACTAACCGATAGGTAAATAATAATATTGATAGTTATGCATAACTTGGCGTATATTCATAAGTAATTCAAAGATAAAAAGGTTAATGTATTTACTTGAACATCATAATATGTAGAGGTATGTGTTTGTTATTGAAATACGTTTCAGTGTTCGTAATAACAATGAATATTTTTTTATATATGCAGCAGCCTCAGTAGCAGTAGGTCTCAACATACACAAAGGAAAATGCAAGATTATCTAATACAACACAGCATGCACCAATCAAATCACACGTGACGGAGAAGCATTGGAAGATCTAAAAACCTTTACATATCTGGGCAACATCATTGATGAACACGGTGGGTCTGATGAAGATGTGAAGGTGCGGACCGGCAAAGCAAGAGCAGCATATTTATAAATGAAGAACATCTGAAACTCAAAACAAACTGTCAACCAACACCAAGGTCAGGATTCTCAATACAAATGTCAAAACAGTTGTACTGTATGGGGCGGAAATTTGCGGAACTACGAAATCCATCATCCAGAATATACAAGTGTTTATTAACAGTTGTCTACGCAAAATACTTCGGATCCGCCGGCCAGACACTATCAGCAACAACCTACTGTGGGAGAGAACAAACCAGATCTCAGTGGAGGAAGAAATCAGAAAGAAGCGCTGGAAGTGGATGGGACACACACTGAGGACGTCACTGCATGACATTAGGTCAATCTTGTGTAGATTTCAGTCATATTTATTGTCTTGTTTTGCATTCATTATGTTTATTAGTGTGTCTTTTCAATAAGTTTTAGCAGATTATCGTACTAAAAAGTTGACTTTTCTTTCAATATTGATTGATTATACGTTGCATATGAGTTGCCTACTCTGTGTGTAACAATCAATAATGAGCATTTCTCACAGATTCAGGTAATCTGTGATATAAAATATTGGTGAAATTTATAACTACTATTTGTGGTTGCTTTAGACATAATAAGAAAACAAGAACAGTAAATTATAATTAAAAACAAATAGCTTTTGTATAATGTGCTTTTGTTGACATTTGATCTCTAAGCAAATTAATTCATCTATATATTTTAACAGTTAAATTCATGAGTCGATCTAAGCTAGACCACCATTGAAAGCTCAGAAACACTGGACATCCGTTTCGCCTTAGTACGAGACTCTTTAGTAGTACGCACGCACGATCCATCGTACGGGATTCGAGCCCGGGACCTTCGGTTTCGCGTAAATGCCTAAACTCTAGGTCTCTGAGACGGCACCCGACTGTCTTCATGTCTAACTATAATCAGTCTGCGACATTATGCGACCATCCTTCACTATATCTGGTGCGCAACAGCCTCATACACCACACGGTTGAATTTCACTACTCACAGCTTCTTACTAAGACTACTAGAATCACCTGTCGAGAATAGTTACTAGTGAGCACATGATAATGATCATTATACGGTTGTGGAGATTGTTTAGTCTTTATTGAGGTCATGAATTTGTGTCGCTCGTGTGAGATCTTGGACGAAGCGGCCGTGTGATGCCTCTACGTTTTTAATGGTGGTCTAGCACTGATCACTTCATGATATTAATAAAAATTCAACAATCTTCACAACACTTCCCTGATAATTTTAATAAGTACCGAGTAGATTGTTGAAGCAGCATTGATTAAAAACGATACCATTTGACTGTTACCATAAAATTAAACTTGAACAAGTACTAAACTCATTCATATCTCTTTTAAAAATTGATTACGAAATATTATGAAAAATGTCATTATGTACGAGCTTGTTCTATTTTTGACTAAACCAATTTTTAATCATTAAAATTTGCTAGAAATATTAGATTAAGGGTTGTTTCTAGAAAAGAACAATGTAATTTTCACGGAAAATATCACC